ACACACACACACACACACACACACATCCCATCCAGTGATTCCAAAAAGGCCAGGTGAGTACTCTGAACTGTGTTTCTGCCTTTTGGCACAAAGAACAGTCAGGGAAAACCCCACTGTGCACTTAGCCAACAAGTACCAAGACACAGAATCACAAAACAGAAACGTGTTGCTCTTTCATTAGCTGGGACCACATCCACATTTAGTTTTGACAATAGTGAATGAAGAATCATAAACTGATGCTGTGGTTTGAGGAAGGCCTCAGAGGGGCCTGGGAGCAGATCCGAGGCCGAGTAGATCTTCAAAGAAGGGATCCTTGTGAAGTAGTAATGATTGAGCGTTATGAAGGTTCAGGAGGCATGCATCAATGCAGAGCCGTGAGAGTAGTTTATGAGGTGTGGTCCTGCTCCTGAAATTCAGATAAATTATCTCCACTTTCAGTAAAAAGTGAAACCAAAGATACAAGAATGTCACAAGAAACCAGAACAGGACTTCTCAGCAGAGCCTTCAAAATAAAAAAATCTTCCAAATAATAAAATATCCTGGAATAAAGTCTGCACACAAATCTAATATATGAATTATATTTCTGCCTGGTTACATTATAACTGGTTTTCTAATTCCAATTTTGTTCATCACATGTATCATACTTTGCTGTATGAGCAACTTTGCTGCTCAGCGGTCTATTCACAGTGTATAATATTGCCCTCTGAATTTGTAACCTTTACATATTTCCCAGAGGACTAAGAACTTCAGTCACTGCATTTTATCTCTCAAAGCGTTTTTGTTCACAATCATAAAGCAGAACTGCAGTGATCTAAGCTAAACAGTCACATAGCTGTAAATAAAAGTCCTTTTTTGGATGTGGATATCACACACATACAACCAGCCCTCTATTCTGTGCCTACTGTGGAAAATTCATTTCCCACTCCTGTAATTCTGTGGTATGATTTCACATAATGTCACATGTTATGTGCTTGTTACTTCATGACTATAAGAAACAACAAAGTTTTCATTTTTCATTGGGTCTTCTCCTCTACAGCCCGGTTGGAAAGCTTCCCATGTGATCTCCTCACTGCTTCGTTCTTACCTCTGATCTCTCTCCTGTTGTCAGTGTAGAAGGTGCAAAGCTCCCTTCAGCTAGTATGTGGTGGTGGCTGCTTGGTCTATTCAGCTGCGTGCTGCTGGCGGTTATTGTCATTTTCTTTTTGATAGTGGGGCAACGCTACAAGGTATTTAGTGAGTCGTGCCTGAGACCACCCGGACCCCTTGTCGCTGACAGCAAACTCAGGGATGCCAGGCTGAAGAGAGGTAATGTATGCATGGGAGCAGTGCTCAATTTGGTGACTACTTGATGCTTAGTTTTTACTCAGTTTTTATTTAAGGAATGAGGAATTTGTAAAACTCTGCTGATCAAGACTTCTTACTTGTGCTAGTCATAATAAATCCTTAAAACTGAGAAGAAGTACTAATTTTCCTATTAATGTTGATAGTCAATGGATCAGTTTGTCAGTATTTTGGTTTATGAGCAACACCTGCAAATTTAAGATAAGACTTTGTTGATCCCACGACGAGGAAATTTGTGCGTTACCACAGCTCAAGTACAATGCCATTCCCTTTGACCTCAGCTGTAGTGTTAATTACACTAAACATTAAGCTTTTTGTTTAGTTACCACAGCTCAAATCACCAGTGTTTTCTTACATTTTCTTGTCATTTTTTAGCTTCTGAAGAAAATGTATTTTTAGAATAGAAAATAAATAATTTAATACACACAACTTCATAGCTGTTATTCATAAAGAATTTCATATTTACATGTAAATTGAAATTTTGTGTCAACCCCTATTTGTTTTTCTAGACCTAGCTATACAAACATCTGAAGTGGATCTTTCTGTGGAGGTTGCATTGCCATCAGAAACCTCTGTTTCTGTCTCGTGTGTCTAGAAACCCTCACAATCCTCCATCAGGCTGATTTGAAATGTTTCCCCCACAGGATTTCGTGTGGACCGTGTTCCTGCTGATCTGGACGCAGTGGTGATTGGCAGTGGCATAGGAGGTTTGACGGCAGCAGCACTTCTGTCCAAAGCTGGGAAGAAGGTTGTAGTTCTGGAGCAGCATGACCAAGCAGGAGGGTGCACACACACCTTCCAAAATAAAGGATTTGAGTTTGATGTGGGTAAGCTGCTGAAGGAAACACACACCAGTCCACAAAATAAAACTCACAACAATATATCTTTAAAACCAACAAGACAAACTGCTAAAATGCTCAAATTTATAGCTGGAGTTTTAAGCCTAATCTCATATGCTCTCTTGTTGAGTTCAACACATCTTAAAATTAGCTATGGTCAAATTTCACATTCATTTATATATATTTTTTAAATCCAAATTTAAAATGATTATAAAAATTAAATTTTATTTACTATCAGAACCATTAGGATTGTTATTCAGTTAAGTACATTACCATTAATAGGATGTTTTTCAAGAACAGGGTTTATGGCATGAACTTGTCAGTGGTGAATATTTCTGTCAACATTCGGCTGTGTGCAGGCAGGAGTTAGACCCAAAATGCAATCTCAGATATGAAGGATGAACTCAAAAACCACAGCTTTATTGCAGGCAAACGAAAAGGCATACAACACAAAACTAAACTAAACTGAGAAAGAATAAACTAAACTCGCCGGGAAACACACAGAGAAACACAGCCATGAGGGGAAAAAGCAACACTGACACAGCGAAACACAGGGCTTAAATACACTGGGGAATAATGAGGGGAATGAGACACAGGAGGAGAGCACAGCTTTGAGAAATCAGACATGACAAGAAGTGAAATTCAATACATTCATGTAGGACACAGACCTTCAAAGTAAAAGAGGAAATGTAACAATGAGACGCGGACTTGACTAGGGGATACAACTGACAGGGGAGACAGAGCAACTGAGAAGCACAGAGACCAAACATAAGGGAGGCACAGCGTACAGAATGGTGTACGTCAGTTTAATGCTGGGTGGTGCTGCAATAGTAACTATCCTCGGTCAGAAGGAGAGGCTGACATCCAGGGATTAGATTACCACAGGTGGAGTTTATTGGCGGTCAGATGGATGGTACAGGGAGGTATGGCATACAGTAGGAGGATGTGGAGAGGTGATATGGTGTGGT